GTCTCACACAGGAGGTCAGACTGGATGGTCACAATGGTCCCTTCTAGGCTGCAACTCAGCAGAACTACGAGCTGGAGCTAGAAGTGTAATAACTGTACCAGCCATTAGCCAGGAAGACCTCTTCAAATACCAGCTTCGGGGTGGTCCAATCTCACAGCATAATGCCTACTGTAGAATGGTTCCTGTTAGTATCCTTGGGGCTGTGATCCCTAGTGCCCTGGATTGAGTCCCTTACTGCCTTTAACTCAGTCTGTGCATCAGAGCAGTGATGTTGTGTCAGAATACAGGTGAGTTCTTCAGCCAGAAAAGCCCGTAGCTTTGAAAGGCAATGAGGACTGACAGGAATTGGAGATCACACTTAGCCAGGAGCCAATCCACCGGGCATCTCATAGGAACAAGAGACACGCAGGTGGGCTCCCGGCGCTGTGTCACTATGGGTGAAAGGGGTTTTTATTCCTCTTCTCCATGCAGCTGTATCACTGTGTACTGGTTAGCTGTGCCGTCCCAGTCTGAGCAATAGTAATCAGCTTCGTCCTCCACTTGAGCCCTGCTGATCGTTAAAAAGCAGGTGTTCCGGGAAGTGTCTTTAGAGGCAGTGAACCTGTCAGGGACACCAGAGCCTTTACCCTGGGTAGAGTCATCCTTGTAATACAGCAGGTATCTTGGTTTCTCCCCTTGCTTCTGCTGGTACCAGTATATGTATCTACTGCTGATGCTGTCTCCACTGCTCAGAACACATGCGAGTTGGACACTTTCTCCTGGAGTCACTGACATACTGAGTGGCTGAGTCAAAGTGAACTGGTAGCTGGAACCTGAAACAACACAGAACCACAGGTCACCAAAGTATCTGTAAATGTGGGTGTGCGCAGGCACCGGGCACACTCCTGACCTAGCTTCTGAGATCAAGCATGCAGTTATATTTACCTGCCCAACAGGCTACCAGAACCAGCAGTGTGGTGACCCAAGCCATCCTAGGAACAGCACACTCAGCCACAGGGCTCTCTGAATTCAGTGGTGCCTTCTCCGCTTGCTTCTTAAACCCTGTGATGTGAGCAGACATCCTGAATGCAAATCTGCACGCCTCTGATAGGCTCCAAGTTATCCTCAGCTCACTGGCACCCACCCCAGAAGCATGCGGGGACAGTCGGTGTGTTGCTGGCTAGGAGTAAGGGATGACGGCCTCAGGTATATTTATCCCATGAGGACACCCTTGAAACATTTTTCCATCAGATTCCCCACAGCTCCTCAATTGGTTTGTTGCACTGCACAGTGGGAGGTTCGGACAATGGATTCCCCTGACTCTGGAACACTGGAGTCACTGCTGAAGGCAGGACACCAACCTAGTGGGACGGATAATCTGTTACAGTGTGTTCAGGGTCGTTCCCTGACAGAGTTTATTCATGGCTCTGGTCTCCAGTGGGTTCTCTGCATTATCCCCCACAAGTGCAGAAGCTCAGCACCTCGCGCTGCATGGGATGGAGAAGGGGCGGTTGTTAAGGAGCTTGGGAAAGCCATTATCTGCCTCTGTTGAATGATCTGTATAGAGCAGAGAACGATAAACTGGCCATAGAGAAGCTGCATCAGGTGCTGTTCAGCTTAACCAGCAAGGAGCAGCACAGTAACTAGGCCCCCCCAGCCGTACAGGGAGAAGTAGCCACCCTCCTGCAGAAGTCGAATGAAAAGCCTGTGTTGTGGAGGCCTCACTGCATTTCATACACATTTCCAGGGCACCATTAATAACCACTTTGCTAATGAGCTCCTGGGAGGTTTTCAGGAGGAAGAGCCCTGTACAGCTGCAAAGCAGTCCTGGCTCTGCTGCCAAAGTAAAGGGATGTTTTAGGATTTCAAGGCCTGGAGCAATAGAGAAGGCAACGTTCCACTTCTGGCAGTATCAACAGCTCAGCATCCTGGGATGGTGCTGAAAACAGTATCAACCTACCATTACCCAGAGGTTTTTATTCTGGATTACATGGATGTTATCTAGGAAGTTTCTGACATTAACAAGATTTTGCTGCTATGGGCATAAGAACCACTTCTGCTATGGGAACTGATGACATACTTTGTCTAATCTTACTGCATTCCT